CAGCGCAGTGTGACTTCGCGTAAGTACATGCAGAGCAAAAAAAACTGCGGCATTGGCAAATGTCGTGCGCGGCTTCTGGCAGTAGCTGCACACCTGATCAGACGACACGGGATATGCCTGAGCTTGGGCTAGAGCAATGAGAGCTCGCTCGCCCTTAGTAGTGCGGCTCTCGGGGGTACCCTTCGCCAGAGTGTAGCGCGTCTCGGCCTCCATTTTGCGGATCTTGGCCTCGATGCTCGTATTGAGCGTCATACGGGATGTACTTCCGGTTTCCTTTCCAAATACGCAGGTCGTCCTTCCAAGACGCTGGCATATAGTGGAACAGGTAGACAGACTTCTGGTCGTCTGTGAGGACCGATTCGGTCGCCTTGGACGCGGCTCTCATCGCGTCTTCTCGAACGAGGAAGAACTCGTTCACATCACTGTTTTCCTCGTACTTGGTCTCCAGGAGGAAGTGCAGGATGTAGTACGGGTCGCCACGGAATGCGGCACCCTCGTACTTCTTGCAGATGGCTTGGAAAATGTCATAGGCCGTGGTGGGGTTCTTGACCAGACGAATGTGCGTGTCGTCCATCGTCTTCATCAGGAACGACTTGGTCTGTGCCTCCATGCGACGAAGACGGCGTGACGACAGTGGCACGCGCTTCTCCTTCTTGGCTCGGCGCTGCACCTTGCGCTGCGAGAACGAGCGGATTGGCGACAGTGCCTTGGGCTCCTTGCTGATCTTGGCATCTTCTTCGCTGCCGGATTCTTCTTCTTCTTCAGAGGTTGGCTCGTAGTTGACGGACTCAAGTTGTATTCGACTGGAGGCGAGGTCTTGGATGCAACCTCGGCATCGGACCTCTCGCTGTCGGACGAGTCTTCGTCATCTTCGTCGCTGCTCAACCCGTCGTAGTCCTTCTTCGTGACGAAACCGAGTAGGTGCTTACCATCAAGCGATGCCGTCACTCGGGTCTTCCACACGTCGTAATTCCTTGCGCCGGAAAGTCGAGGGAAGTCCTCACTTGAGGCTTGGTTGGGCTCATAGCCTGTTGAGAGACACTCTTGCACTTGAAGAAAGACACGTGGAATAAGGTTTGAAACGAAAATGAAAAAGTGAGATTGGTATTAGTGGGAACGATAAGGTATTATCCTATTGTTTGTATCTGGTAGTCTAATACACAGTAAATACCTGCCGCAACCAGTTATTTTGATATAAGATAATAGAATCACAAGTACCGTGTTCTTCCAGTATTAATTTCCAGAGAGAACACAATAAAAGGAGATAGCATGGCGAGCCCTAACCTTAACGAGTGCTAACGACTCTGATTCAATCTCTACGGACTGCCAGGATTGTAAACCGGGCCAGTCTTTTCCAGTGCGTCAATTCGAATACCCGAAATAAGGTGATACTAATTATACTAATTTTGAACACGACATAGTCTCACCTTCGAACAGTGTGACTAATTACGAACTGTGACTATTTATTCACACAGACTAATTACCGAAGGCACTGTAGTTATTATGTAGCAATTGGTTGCTCTTTATGTCACTTCTTTATTGTATTGCGGTATTTTTGCGATTTGCACGGGGTATCGACACGTTTAGTTGGGACCGAAGCGGTGTAAAACGGTGGCAAGCGGTGACAAACGGTGTCGACACGCCCCAGGGCATCTACAACCCTCCCCCCTCCCCCGTTCAAGGCCATTGAGTACGTAAAGTATGTATGTATTGTTTCTGGTCTTTTAATGGCACGGTTCAACTGAGTAAGTTTCTATGGCTGCTCCTCCACCGTGGGCTTGTAGTGCTCGAACGTGTTGTAGCCCTTGTCGCCCATAGCAGCATCCCAGAAGTACTTGTAGTCAGGCACCGGGTTCAATGGCCAGTCGTTCTGGAAACGCTCGGCCAGGTCCGGGTTCGACATGTACAGACGAGCGAAGCCCACAAAATCGGCCGCTCCGCTGCGAATTACACCTTCTGCCGTGTCGCGCGTGTAGCTGTTGTTGGCCATGACAGGTCCCTTGAACGCCTTCTTGGCGTCGAACACGGTCAACGTGCGGCTCTCCGTCGAGTAGCCGAAGCCGAAGCCGTCCAGCATAGCCAAGTAGGCGAGGCCGTGTTCCGATAGACGCTCGAAGGCATACGTGAACATCTCGTTGTTATCCTTGCTACCCATGCCGCCGAAGACGCCGTTCGGGGACAGACGTACACCAATGCGAC